ATTTTATATTCTTCAGAGTCCATCTCTTCTCTCTATAGTCTTCTTGGAGATAAATGGTGTGAGAGAAATTGAAATTCCATAGGTATGGGCAGTATCTTCGAGCTAACGGGGGTTTACCGCCATGGAGGAACTCAATCACACATGATATTCCTCATAGGACAACCACGCAGGACTGGGTTTTGTGGGATATTGATATTTTGGAAAGCAGAAAGAAGAAAGCACAACCAGTGACTGCACCACCAGCTTATACGCCTCTCCCACCTCCTCCACCACCACCAGAGCTTCTGAGGGTAAGAAAAGATGAACATGATGAGCCAGATTCACCGAAAGGATTCTCTCTCAAGTCCCCAAGATTTCCTAAAACAGAGGTTTGATCAGTTCTACACTATTAGGTTCATCATCACATAAACAAGGAGTAGTTGTAGTATCCTATGAAAGAAAAGTAAGTTCTTCCGATCTAAATGACCTTTTGCTTTTGTACATTTTATGATCACAGTATGATGATAGGATCAGCTCACCGGTAAAGGCAGATGGGAGGCTAATCTATTATAAGGTGGCGGACGAAGATGGGAATGTCGATGAAAGAGCGAAGGAAGAGCTTTTCTCTTTCAAGGGAATGGGACTAGAAGAGCTGAAGCAGATGCTTGAAGAAGAGACAGGTCTGACTGATATATCAATCTGTTCCAAAAACCCTTTAAACGGTAAACTATATCCCCTTCGATTGCATCTCCCTCCCAACAACACAAAGATGCACGTCGTCTTGATCCCTTCGTCTTCAAAAGGTTAGTTTTCTTTTCATTAGTTCATATTTTTCAACTTACCAAAACCATGAACCATCAAGAACCAGAACCTCCAGTTTTTTTTTGGGATTCTGGTTCAGTAATTGAAATGTGTGACATAAATGGTTATCTTATGTTAGCTCGTTTCCGTTTTCCGGTCAGATTTGAACTATGGTTGTCCTGATACAAACATAACTGAAGAGATTGGGGTTTGTGAAATTCTACAGGTGATGCTGCAAGCACTTCTTGAAGAATGGTTCAATACTACAGAGAGATTGTTGTCCAAGACTGCAAACTTTTGGTTTCTGTTATTGTGTATTTCGGTAACATGATGTAGATCAACATAACCTTTTCACGCGAGTACATTCACTTGATGCTAAAAGAAACTAGCATCAGACTGTATGTTAAGAACTGTCACCACCTAAGCAACCAAAACACAATACTAACCCGAACATTAAAGAAGATATTCTATAGGAATTTCGTAAGGCTTCCCATCGAGTTCTATTCAGGAAGCAATTATTTTCTTCTTACCGAGATACTTATGAAACCAAATCAAATTGAGTTAATTGTTAACCAATAAATTTGTTAAGCATCAAGTTTTTACAAGTCAAGAAAACTTTCTAAGGAACACAATATAACTCAGGGCAGCAACTAATAAGATAGACAAGAGGTTACCTGGCCAAAACATTGTTCCTAAGCAAAGAAAAGATGCACACCCTCATTAATCACTCGTTACCTGCAGTAACAGATTTGATAAACTCGTTACTTGCACTATTTATTCAGTTTGTCAAGAGACTTGATTCTCTCTACTCTCTAGATGCTACAGAACGGCACACAATTTTCAACTGTAGCTACTGTTTTTCCTTTTGCTTGTCTTATATTTCTCTTCCACTCTCAGGGCCCTTGTGGGAGATTCCTCATTTTCTTAGGCCTTGCTTAAGTTTCCAGTTCCTGTTTGGGGGAGTCAAATCTTTCCCTTTGATAGGATATAGAACTGCTTCATGTTCAGATGCTACTCTTGGTCCTTCATTAGTACTTGTCTTTCACTCCCTCATAACCTTTGGACACCCCTCCAGTGTGCATTGCGGCAGGTTAGAGGAGTTCAACAGATCATCTGTAGAAAGAAGAGAACTTAAGACTGTCCTCCGATAAGATTTGCAGCTTCATGAGTTAGTGCGACAGAATCTGCAAGGCATCAACAGATAGGAGATGAATCATTGTGTGAATTTGCAGCAGATTTGGGTGTGACAAATCTCCCGAAACAAACTTGGTAACATTTCCATCCACCTCTAACACACTGCATCCTGGTGCCTTTCTTATTCCCCTCTGACCTATCATCCGACGAATTTTAGATGCCTCGGCATTTCTTTCAACAACCAGGTAAATATTAGATAGTTGAACAAGAGCTGCTTCCTCTTCATCAGCATTTCCTTTCTCTATCTCAAGAAGATTCTTAACAGCTAATTCTCCTAGTTCAACATTCTTGTGCGTTCGACAACCATTTAGTAAAGCACCCCAAACAGATGCAAGAGGTTTCATGGGCATTTTTTCTATAAGACCAACTGCATCATCTAATCTTCCAGCTCTACACATCAAATCTACAATACAGCTGTAATGCTCATGCTTTGGAGTAATTCCATATCGAGCTTCCATATTATCTAACATTGACTTGCCTTCTTGAAGATATCCTCCATGAGCACAAGCAGCTAAGACCGCAAGAAGAACTACACTATCAGGTTTAATAGCATCTTCTCGTTCCATCCGCTCCAAACACGTAATAGCTTCCTTAGCATAACCATAAGCTGCATATCCTCCAATTAAGGCTGCCCATGAGAAGACATTCCTCCGAGTCAACTTTTCGAAGACTTCCATCGCCATCTCTAAGCAACCACACTTGGAATACATGTCAACAAGTGCCGTTCCTACATATACATCAGATTCAATCCATTTCTTCTTCTTCTTCAAAAGCTCATGAATCCACTTCCCCTGAGCGAGAGCCCCAGCTTGTGCACAAGCCGTTAACGCCGTAGTAACTGAGAATTTGTCAGGCTCTGTTCCTCGAGCCAACATCTCCTTGAATACCTTTAAACCCTCGGATCCTAAACCGCATCTAACATACCCATTCATCAAAACATCCCATTTCACAACATCCGGGTGAGGAATTTCATCGAACACTTTGTGGGCATCTGACAACAGTTTCTCTTCAACATAAAGCCGCATGATTCCTGTCTGCACATGACCGTCCGACGAAAAGACACCATTTTTCATGACCCAACAATGGATTTGCTTACCCACAGAGAAGAAATAAGCATTCAAACAAACGACCAACAAGAAATGAAACGTGAGATAACTGGGAGCTATATCTTCGTCGTCTTCTCTAAGCATTAGTCGGAAATACCGTAAACCCAATTGAGGCAGAGAGCTTCGAGAGCACATTCTGATCATGGTATCGTAAACGAATGAGTTACGAAACTGAATGGAATCGAATACAGTGGAGGCGTAGTGAAAGTGTGTGTCCAAATTGGGAAGAGGGAGAAAAGCAGTGAGAAGTTTGCTAGTTGCGTAAGTGTTGCGATGGAGGCCATGGATGATGAATAGAGCATGGGTCGATTTGATATGACGCAATGTTGTGCAACAATGACTCGCGAGAATCAGAGTCTTCCATGATTGATGGGAGCTGGAGAGAACACTCATCGTCGTGTTTGGTCGTCATTGTAGCGGTCAAAGGCAAGGTTGTGATCAACGGCCATTTACAATAAAAACGGCACGATGTGTAGTGAATACAAACATCAAGGTGTGCAGGCGTGTAAACATAAGACAGCAAAGATGAAACTCATATTTCGTAACTTTTACCATCCAATAAGCCAGATTATCCATTTGATTCGATATCCGCTTTATTTCTATCCGACAAATCTGGTTATCCATTATGAATCAAAGCGAAGAAAAACACAAAAAATTAGTATCTATCGAAAATGAAGCAAATCACAAATATAATTCG